TTCGTATCAAGCCTATCATGACATTCCATCCTTTTCAACGTTCGTAACATTCGTATCCATCCTTAAAGTATCAAGATAAAATTTTTTTTTTGTAAAAAAGTTGAAGAAATATAACTTAAAACTTAAAAAGTGAAAAATGTATCTATTTTAGCCCTAAAAATGATAAAAACTCACACTCGTATCAAAAGCTGTCATAACAGCTGTCAGTCTCTAAGAAATATTACTTAAAACTTAAAAAGTGAAAAAAGTACCTATTTTAGCCCTAAAAATGATAAAAACGCACACTCGTATCAAAAGCTGTCATAACAGCTGTCAGTCTCTACGCAGGCATCCCACCGAAATAATTTATTTTATATCTACAAAATTCCTCCCCCCCTACTCATACCTTTTAAATGACCGCGGCATTCACGAAGTGAAGCTTTCCCACCCTCTCCTCTCCCATGTTTGGACTTCAGCCCCAGCCAAATATTTAGAACTAATATAGAAGCTTCTCTGGGTTGCACTTTACTCTAGTTTTGCATAATTTTCATTTGTGTAAAACAGTATAAAAGAGATTATGTTTATATGGTTTAAAACTAAACAGCTGATGTATCATTGGAGGGAGGAGTGCCAAAAACACCAATTTGTAATTTCCAAATCTTTTTATGGAAAGTGATGGTAACAGGGTGTACAGAGTGCTTCAGGGTACAGGGTACTACAATGTACTGCAAAGTACTGGGCTTTACTGGGATATACTGGGGGGAGGGGGTACAGAAACCAAACAGAAGTTTTTATTTTTAATAAAAATATATATGTAGAGTCAGAAGCACTTCTAAGCATATTTTCTTTATAGTTTTCCACTATTTTTATGGATAAAAAAGCTAGTTTAATACTAATCAGCTGATCACTTAATGGAGGGAGGGATGGCAACCACGCCAATTTGTAATCCCCATATCTGCAGGGTACTGTTGGGTACTGCAGGGTACTTTGGGGTACTGTGGGGTNNNCTTAGCATTATGATAGTGGAATCTAGCTTCTATGTTTATAGTTTTTTTCTTGTATTTCAAAATGAAAGACGACTTTTTATAGTCGTCTGTAATCAACAATATTTATTGGGGAGTGTGCACACTATTTTTCAAAATTGATTAAATAGTATAGATGGGGGAGGGGGGGTACAAAAAAGCTCCATTGAAATAATTTAGTTTGACTAAGAGTTCTCTTTGTTATTATAAGAATTTGGTTTACAAGTATATTGAGCGCAGAGCAAATCCTTCAGCGGTTAAAAAATGCCGTTTTTTTTACTTCAAATTCTGAAAATACTCTATGTACTCCCCTGTGGATACCAAAAAAAGATGATTTAAAAGTTTTTGAATAAGAGGAAATGGATCAAAAATATGAGGAAACGGACCTAAACTTTCAGGAAACCGATCAACAAATTGAGGTTTTTAATGTTTTTGAAAAAAGCGGAAACGGATCAAAAATATGAGGAAACGAACCTAAAATTAGAGGAAACCAATCAAAAATATGAGGAAACGGACCTAAAATTTGAGGAAACCGATCAACAATTTGAGGTTTTTAAAGTTTTTGTAAAAAGAGGAAATGGATCAAAATATGAGGAAACGGACTTAAAATTTGAATTAAAATCAACAAATTGAGGTTTTTAAAGTTTTTGAAAAAAGCGGAAACGGATCAAAAATATGCGGAAACGGATCAAAAATTTGAGGAAACCGATCAACAAATTGAGATTTTTAAAGTTTTTGAAAAAAGCGTAAACGGGTCAAAAATATGAGGAAACGGACTTAAAATTTGAGGAAAACAATCAACAAATTGAGATTTTTAAAGCTTTTGAAAAAACGTAAATGGATCAAAAATATGAGGAAAATGACCTAAAATTTCTGTAGAAAGATTATCCATAAAGATACCCAACAAACAAAAAAGCACAAGATTATTTGGTTTATTTCACACGAGTGACCCGTCAATATCCCGTGATAATTGCCGTGTTGTGGAGGTGAATGTCGACGATTTGATCACGGGTCTATAGGACCGAGTTTTTACAGGGCAAAAACCTGAGTTTATTTCACGAGATGAACATGGAATTTTTACATGAGAAAATTATTTTTCTCCCATCTACTTTAATTACATTTTTTAAAACCCTGGGAAGGGGGGGGATATATAATTGATTTCTGATATGTAAATATATTATAAAATATTCTGTGTAAAAGTATATAATTATTACACAATGTTTAGAAACTAAACATTTTAGTTTATATCTTTAACATTAAACATCTTGAACGTGTAAACTTTAAACTTTTCTTATCACAAAGTGATATTTCAAGTCTAAATAATGTTCAGCTATGTTAATGTGTTCATAAATGTAAGAATTCTCCTTCCTGTATTTATCTAAAAGATTAATATTTCAAAAAGGGGTTGTTGAGAAATACAATACAAAATTCAATGTGAAACTTTTCTTTGCTCTGCTCATGCTTGTTATAATCTAAAAAAAATTATGTCAGTTAACATATTTCATTTTACTACAATAAACTTTTAGTTTCTAAAATATGAGCAGAGACACCAAGTGTTGTGATTTTGAAACTCTGTTAAAAATTAAACATGAAGTTCTTCCCGTGATATCTGAAATATTTTACGCGTGATATTTACAAGAATTAAAATCTAGATATTCTGGCATTCCATTACTCATGATTAACACGTTGGGAATATGCGAGATCTTGCACTGGTATCTTTGCTACGTGAACAACATGTGAAAAAACGAAAAGAATTTAACTACAGAGTTATCTCAAATATATTACACATGATAATTACGAGAATTAAAATCTAAAAATTCTGGCATTGCATTACTCGAGTTTAACAAAATAGGAATATGCAAGATCTTTCACTGGTTTATTTTGCTACGTGTACAACATGTGAAATAACGACGAGAATTTTCAAAGAATATTTTCGCGTTTTTTACCCGTGCTGTACACAGGAGGAATCTTCAAGATTGTAAAAAGTAGATTTACCCCGAGTATAACACAAGGAGGGTACGTGACTTATTCACGTGAATTATCAACCAGTTCTCCATCATGCTAATCTTGTTGAAAACCTGTGTTTTGTTTGTTGGGTATTTTCAGGATTCACACATTTACAGGAATTTGGCCAGGGCTGAAGAACATTTCCAAAGAATTTCTTTTGATCAATTTTAGGGAATTTCTTGAAAACAATTCCAGGGAATTTTAATTCCAATTCTGGGGAATTTCTCTGGTCCAAATCCAGATAATTTCTTGTGACCTATTCCAGAGCATAACTCAAGAAAATGAGACCTAACTTGAGCAAGTTCTTGGAAATTTATAGAGAAAAATTCCAAGGAACCAATTCCCGGGAATTTCCTGGGAACAATTTTCAAGACTTTCTCAAGAATTTTTTAGGATTATCTTGAGATATTGTCAATATAATCCTGAGTAAATTTACTAACCAGGCTATTTCTGAGAATAACCAACTTCTTAAGTCAGAATGTTATTGTTGGTTTTGAAACAGCTGAATGAGCAATAACAAATAAAGTAAACTATGGTTCTTTTTCAGTTTTCCCATAGAATTTTTCAAGAATTTCTGGAGAATGGTTTTAAAGAAATTCTTAAAAATTTTTAATGAAAATTCCAGAGAAATTTCAGGAATTTTTCAAGTCACTTCTAAGTCCCCCCAAAAAATGTGTAGAAACAATTCCTAAGAATTTCACAGGAAGTTTTTGGAGAAATACTTTAAGACTTTTTGTAAGAATTCTAGAGAAGTAATTTTTGGAAACTGAGTCTCTTTTTCAGATCTCCAAAATATATATAAAATTGGCAATATTTTCTTAGAATTTCATGAAAAAATATTTTAAAGAATTTCACTAAACTGAATCTTTAAAATCTTATCCACCCAAAATCTCTTAACTTGAGAATTTCACAAAAATAAATCCAGAAGTTCTCCACAGCCAGTCAATAAGGTTGAGGATTTATTTAGTTTTTGTTACCTGGCAGCCTTTACAGAAGAAACTAACCTAAGATTACTAGAAAACCCCATTGTAAAGAGAGCAGATGCTAAAGCCCATGTGAGCAAGATAATGCTCCCAGAATACACTAAACTTCATAATATTTCAGTGGTTAAAAGTTTTATCTGTAAATTGAGCATTAGAAATTTGATAATGAACCTTCCCAGGATTTGACAAGAATTTTAGACTGCCCAAAAAAACCAGGAAAACCTAATAAAACGGAATTGTTGTTTTCAAATTGTTTCTAACAGCTTAAAAACTTTATGTTATTTAACAAGTGCTTTATTTTGGAAACTTACTAGAACTGTTTTCAAATCTAAATTGTTTAGTATATGAACAAGTATTCTTTATTTTTAAATCCTGGATAACCATGTGGTTCAAACACCATTAAAAATAGTCACTTTACAATTTTAAAAATATTATTTTGTAATACAACTTTGTATTAAACAGAGAGATAGATATATTTAACCATCAGAGATTGGAGGTCAATCATAGTGATCACCAAATTAATTTAACGTTTATTATTCCTGGGGGAACTTTAAACTCACTAGTTGCTTTCTCTGCACGGAAACATTGATTACATCCCTTTCAAAGTTGAGAAGAACAAACTAAATGAGGAACACAGATCAGATATGTATTTATTCATGGAATTAAGAAAGATTCCTTTGGGAATCCAGCATTGCCTGGAAACTAGAACAATAAAATTACTTACTCAACTTAGTATTTCAAAACCAGACTAAGAACATTCAAAGATAACCCAAATCAAGTTCCCCAATAAAATTTGAGGCAAATCAGTAAAGGTTTAATTTGTTGTTCTAAGTAATTTTATTTCTAAAAGCTGTACACAGTTATAATTTTTACCCCTCTCTTTAATCTACTCGAGATGATTAAAAAAACAGCAGCTAGGTTTGAGAATATTTCTGCTTGATATAAAACATAAACTTTTTATACATTTATCCAATTTTACTAATGTTACTACCTGCTTGAGCTAAAGTAATTTTATTCCCCAACAATTTATTTCAAATCTTATAAGTCAATCTTGTGCACATTCCACATACTTTTGGACGGAATAATTAAACAGCTCAAAATCCAGACTGTACATCTTGTACAAACTGTAAACCTAAACAATCATGTAAACAAACATTTAAAAATTTATTTAAAAGTGAAAACAAATAACTTTTTTTCTGCCTTTTCAGCCTATTATGAGTTTGGAAAGTGCAAAACTAGAAAAAAGTGTCCAAAAGTAAAAGGTCCAGATAAGCATTAATTTTAAAAGTATAATTTAACTTTCATTTTATTTGACACTTTAAAAGCTATTTACTTTTTTAAGTCAATTTATTTTAGAAATAATAGCTTCTTTTTTCAAATTGGTTTCTTGTTATTAACGGAACAAAATCATTCTCTAATAAGTAAAAGCTGCCTCTCAGAAAGTTTCATGGGGGGGGGGGGGGGTGATTTAGTGATCAGTCAAGAGACCCCTTGCAAAAAGTTGTCAACCAAGAATTGCAAAGACATGTGAAATACCATGTAAACGCCATCTGCCTATACCTGTATTTTACTAAGTTGTGAAAAGTATTTCTTATAATCATCTAATTTAGAAGAGCTTCTCTCTACAGATGATTCTGTTTTGAGCCTAAAACAAAGTTGTTCAAATTTCTCTAAAAGGGACTGATGTCTGAGGGACAGTCATCTTTAAACCTAAATCTGAGTAAAACCTGTTATTTTTGTTTTTTTTTATCTAAAGGAATTGAGTCTTTGCCACAACTAGGGCTGGGAACTCTATGACTTTTTTGAATTTTTTCTGTTCAGCTAGATTGTTCTGTTCTTGTTCCTTTTTTTCAAATCATTCTGTTCTTGTTCCTTTTTTCCAATCATTCTCTTCGTGTTCCTTTTTTTCCAATCGTTCTGTTCTTGTTTCTTTTTTTCCAATTGTTCCATTCTCGTTCTGTTTTGTTCTGTTCTTGATGTTGCTAGTGGAAGAATGGTCCATCCCATTCCATTCCATTCTTGGTTTTCTTAGTCAAACAATTCTATTCTGGTTGCGTTCTTAGTCAAGAATGTTTCTACCCCTCGTTCCTTGAAAAGGGGGGTATACAATTTGTAGATTAAGAAAAAATTAATTTTCATAATCGATATTTCAATGATATTAAAAAGATATATAAATAAATTTAAGAAAACAATATCTATCAACCTTTCTCCACCCTCCTTCACCGGAGAGGGAGGCCGAGGA